GTTGGATTACGTGAAGTAATAACTTCTGAAAAAATTTTGCAAATGAGATCATTATTATAAGAAAACTTTGACTTTTGGAAAATGGATTTAAAAACTTTCAAGTCAGTTGTAAATGTAATGATTTCTGAACTTTTTATTAATGGTATTCAGGAATGTGATTTAGATGGTAACAGTAAAGAAGTTGCTATTTTTATTGCTGGATATATATGCCGAAAATTACTCAAAAAAGTTAAACGTGAATTATGTTCTTTATTGCTAAAAAGCGATCTTATTGATTTAAATACAGAATATATTGAACTACTATCTAGAGGAGCTCCCTCAAAATTGCTTGCAAATCATGTTATTATTTGCATTGCTATGCTTGATGCAGTAAAAAAAAGTTTACTTACAATAGAAATTCTTGACATCAGAAAAGTTAGCGAATATATTTTATATGAATATAACTTGAACCACAGCTTTATTTGTGAGGATCATTTAAAGTGCTTTCTCTTGTTAATCAGACAGTAATAAATATTTTTTATAACAATGAACAAAAGATTTTAAGTAATGGAAAGCGCAAAGATGCTGTATTATCTTTTAAAAGAAGACAAAGGGTAAAGAAAAAAAAGAAATGTAGTTTATGTGTGTATATATCTATCTATCTATCTATATATATATACATATCTATCTATATATATATATACATATCTATATATATATATATATATATATATATATATATATATATATATATATATATATATATATATATATATATATATACATATATATATATATATATATATATATATATATATATATATATATATATATATATATATATATATATATATATATAATATATATATATATATATATATATATATATATATATACATATATATATATACATATATATATATATATATATATATATATATATATATATATATATATATATATATATATATATATATATATATATATATATATGTATATATATATATATATATATATATTCATATATATATATATATATATATATATATATATATATATATATATATATATATATATATATATATATATATATTCATATATATATGAATTAGGTCCAGTTAGGCTGCTAACCAGGGCTGACGTTATCAACCACTTCCTCTACCTGAAGGAGAAGAATAGGCAAACTTTGCAGACAAAGCGACTTTCCTGTCCTTTAAGTTACAGCTTCAGGTAACCTTTTACAAAGAACCTAACACAGATATAGTATACTTTTTCAACTTTTTTTCATAGTAAGCAAATATTGAAAATAGTTTCCTTTAATATTATTCATTCAAAAATTGTAAAAGCAATTTTATTTTATTTTTAGTGTGCAACTGAAGAAAGATTTTTAAAAAATGAAATTCCAATTTTCGCTTTTCGAATAAAAAATAATATCATTGACCAAGATGCAGGCAATATAAAGGTTCTCATAAAAAATACGATTAAATATAATATCAGAAGCTTTAGTTATACATTGATGGAAAACTCATCAAGGTTAGTAAATGTGCCTCCAAAAAAAAAGCAAGTTAAACTGAGACTTTGTAATAACCTACCTATTTCCAGAATTTGATAAAGGCTCGCGATGATAAGGCAGTTGACAGAATCTGCATTATTTTAAGAGCAAAGAGAACTGATCATCTACTTGGTGCTTTAGGAATTTCTTCTGGAACAGGACTAAATTAGCTTTTTGTTATCAAGTTAATTCTGATAGAGCTTGATGTTACTAATTCTGGTGAGTCTGTCTCCAATGACATAAAAGATTAGTTGGCAAGGAAGCTTATAAAGTGCCCTAGACTTGGGTCTAGGGCCTTTGATTTTGATAGAACAAATAATTTTTGATTTACTAAAAAAAGGAGGAGTTTTTCCAGTTTAGTGAGTCACCTACTCTTGCTGATTATGTAAGTCCTGAGTCTTGCCTAGCTTTTGATACTCTGGAACATAATAAACAGCATGTCTCTTGTTTTCCTCTGCTACATGGAAAGTTGACCCTGAAATCTTGGCTTTCCAAGTTTTGTCAAGAGTTTGGCAATAGTAAATGACGTTGCAGAGAGAGCTGTAAAGACAGTTCAGAAGGAAGTTAACCTGACTTATAAGGAGAAGAAGCTTCAAAAAATACTTCTTGGGAAGAGTAAAGTTGAAAAACCCCTTTTCAGAACTTAAGCTGCTTACAAGAAGGCTGCTAAGCAGCTGACTCCAGCAGAAAAACTTAATCTTATATATTAGGAAAAGGTTTTGAGGAAACAAAAGTTTTCCTTTCCACCAACAGTAAACTTGACAGCAGTGTTGATATTTTAGGAGAGCACAGCAGTGTTGATATTTTAAACTTGACAGCAGTGTTGATGTTCTGGAGGCTCTGTGGGCAGAGAATGAAGCCCTAAACAAAGTTGAAACCTAATATGTTTTTTTCATTGAATATATTTTTTTTTAAATAAAAAGTTTCAAATTTATGCTGAAAGTACATGGAAAGACAAAAGAAGAATACAAAATCCCTACCCCTTTTATGATAAATAAGAACGGGAAAGTCTACAGCCCCCCCTTTCCTCCAACACCTAAATCGTGATGTAAGAACTGATTCTTGAGGGACGCCATTTTTCACCCATTCCCAATCAGACATTTATTTTTATTGCTCGCTGTTGTTTATTGGTTAGTAATACCAGTGATCTAGTTTAAAAGTTGGCCTCAAATTCCATACTTGCTTTGCCAAAGTCAAAAAAATATATAAACCAGATGTCCAAGGTAAACTGCTTTTTTTAAAATGTTACGAGATTCAATCAGGTTTGTAATGCAACCTTAATGATGCATTAATTCATGCTAAGACTTTGATATTAGGTTGAGCGCAGTATTTCATAATCCTATTTATGATAGTTATCCCGCCACCTAACAAGGTATAGATGAGAAACATCGGTCCGTAGTTATGAGTTTTGACTTTGCTTTCTTTTTTAGGATTTCACTCCTTAAAACTTATTAAATAAAGTTTATTAGTTTTTTTTTTTTTTTTATTTTGCTACTTAAAACTGTGATTAAATTTTCTTTCAGAGCTATCATTAAAGTGATTATAACATTTTTTCAAATTTTATTTTTAGCAATTAGATGTTTTGTTTGGATAAGACCTAGTGTCTACTTCAATGTCATCAAAATAAAAAACAAGCCAAATTTTTTTGTTCGACTTCCACCAACTAAGAAAAAAATATAAATTATTTAAAAACTATAACTCTTTGGTAGTATAAATAAAACAAAGTTAGTTGTTATGCACATCACCTATTACATCCATTTTATACCTCATCAATAAAAAGTTGTTTTTTACTTTTTTGTAATTATAATCACATTAAGTTTTTTTGTCTTATGCTTCTGGCGCCCCTATTATTATATCGCCTGGGACATGCACATGCCCTTTTGCCCCTCCCTCTTAGCAGCCCCGCATAACTTTATTAAAAAATATAAGTCAATAAAGTTATTAAATTAAGTCTAGTTAACTTATTTTGGCAGATATGGTCCAATCACTTCGAAAAATAAACTTTTTTCACTATTAGTTAGAAAAGAATGGTTATCATTAAAACAAAAAACATTTTATAAAAATAAAAACAAATAAAACTGTGTTAAGGCTCGAGAAAAAGCCAAAGCATGTAAAAAATTTTAGTTTTTTCAAAGTATTTTTTGGACTAAATGATTACGTAACGTGAAAAGTAAACAGTAAAATTAAAGGAAAAAAAGGTGGCGCTATTTTATTACCACCGCGTCAAAGATAGCTCTAACCTCACAAAACAATCTACACTTTGCTATAATTGCAGCAGCCTGTAGAAATGTTTTTAGAGGAGCAATATTTTGAGAGTAATAATAATTTAAATTAGACATATAGCTATGTCTATGAGCAGAACAATATTTTATTATTACTTATTATTACGGTAACCTATGTTATTGGGCTTGCACTTTGTACGATAGAAGCAATCAATATAACTCTAAATAAATAAAAAAATCATAAATGACAAAATATGGTAAATAAAAAAAGTTAAAAAAAAATACAGAAACATCATTGTCGTGTTGGAAGGCTTCTAAAATAACTAATTATAACTGATGAAGAGCATTAGTGTTATCTCAGTTTTGTAAAAGCATTAGTCTTACCTCTAATTAGTAGGAGCTTTAGTACCTTAAAGCTCGAATGAGTAATTGAAAGATTTTTCATACGTGATGCTGATTTATTGTCTTCCGAAAATAATTCAATTTTTGCAGAAAAAATTTGATTGAAGCAACACCTTAATCAGTTTGTGAAGTAGCAACTTGAAAAAAGAAACGTAAATAAAATTTTTGTAGCATTTATCAAACCCAGATGTTTTGAATCAAAATAATGGGGATAAAATAAAAAAATTACGATGTTCATAATACATTATATTAGTTATTCTTTAAAACTTTTCAAAATTTTTCTTTATAAAAGTTATATAAATAGTTAGATATTTTGTATTCGTAAGTATAAGATAATATATTTAATTTATAACAATTTTGATAAACATGTGAACTAAAACTTTATTAAATATTAGAATTACTCAAAACCTTTTAAACCTTAAAATGATATTATATTAACATTACTCAAAAAATTGGAATAACATTAAAATGAGGTTGGTTAAACTATAACAAAAATTGTCTTGGCGACAGTAAAACAACAATATACCATTGTTTACAATAAATATTTTACCTAAGTTAAATAACTTAAAAGCCAAAGCGTCCAGGTTTCAATTTGAGGTTATGCTGATGTCAATTTAAGATAATATTTAATTAAATCACCAACCGTTTTGATGATGGCTCGATGTGGCTTTTTATGTTTTGAAATTTATTTTAGGCCATTGAAAGTTAGTGTTTCAATCGTTTATTTAATTAAAGTAGTTGGCTAACATGTTTCCAATTTTGCACATACTGCAAATTATATAATATCAATACTATATAATATATAAAGTTGTAATTGTTAAAACCTTAAAAGAAAATATGCATGATAATACCTGTTTTACTTATAAATAAGCTGCTTAATGGAGTAATATGCGCCAAAACAGCCTATTACAGAGCCAGTAGTCAATATTGTAACTACTTTTATTTTATTAAATATTGTTAGTTCGTTCCATTTTAACTTCAAGTAGAAATAACACGGAAAGATAAATATTAGACAAGTTCCGATCAGACACCCTTTAATTGCAAGTATTATTCCAAAATAAGGAACCAATAATCCAATTGAAACGCTAGATGAAACAAGAAACAAACGCGTGAAAGCTAACCAAAGGTAAAACAGTTTATTGTCATCGCTTATTTTAGTATTTTCTACAAAACTATCTAGGTAATCACAAACGGAAAACATACACAAAGGATAGTTGAACAAAGCGTATAATGATAGTGAAATACCGCAAAGAAAGCTTGCGTTTCGATTAACTTTACCCACAACTATAGTTAAAATGCTATCTGTGTCAGCTCCAAATGTTATAGCTCCAGTCATTCCAACAAAGACTTTAATAATACTTGAAACTCCATACAAAATACAAAGCAGCCGTGGAAACTTTTTTTTATCTCGCATACTACTCTCAACTTGTGGAATTACTATATGAGAAGCGCACGAAAACACGACAATACTGACAGCTAAAGGAAAATTTTTTAGAGTGATAAACGGAAGTTGATGAAAATGCGGAATCCATTTGTTGCTCTGTTGAATAAAAATAAATATAAGAGTAATTGTTCCAATAATAATGGCAAAGGCTGATATCATGCTGAAGTACGCAAGTATGGTTAGTTTTGAAACAAAAAGAGTCGGATAGATCAAAACTGAAAAAATACATGTCAATATAATGAAAGATACATTTGTATAGGGTTTTAACAAAGCAAATGCACTTTTTTCTAATAATAGCATACTCGTCACACTTTCTGTAAACATATGAAAAACAAGTATTCCAGTTAATATTTTGGCGCCATTCTCGCCCCACACCGCTTTCATAACATCGGCATACGTCTTACGAACACGTCTTTTTGTACCACATTGTGGTGTGAGTTCATAAAAACAATCAATTAACATTATTCCAGTAATATTTGCTAGGTAACTTATCAAAATAATAGCAGCTAAAACTGCGTATCCTCCGATCGCAACTGCATACGGCATGGTAAACACAGAACTTCCTTGAAGTGTTGGAAGAATGTTCCAGGCAGTGATAAAGACAGATGCATTATTATTATAGGAGCAATTTTTTTCTTGAAATGAGTTTCCTTCATAATTTGCAGCTCTTTCTTTATTTTGGACTTCATTTTCTTCATTTTCTGAAATGCTAGAGCAACTACCAAGAGCGATCTGGGCTCTAGGAGTTATAGAGATTGTTGGTAGAAACACAGATATGTTTCTTTCTGCATCAGTAATTAAAGGAATACTAGAGTAAGATGCAGTTGTATTTTGTATTTTAAATGTACCTAAAAAAAAAATACTACTTAAACTATTTACTTATAACCCGTTCATACTGCCGATAAAACAAGTTTTAAAAGTTTTATTTTAAAATCGTATTAAAATGTTATTGTAAAAGCTGTATGAAACAACCATAAAACAATTCTGCAAGGTTTTTTTTGTCAATATATAAAAAGTTTGTGTTTGTGTTAATATAAAACAATTTGATAATGTTGCTTTTTACTGTTTTATACAGTTTATAACATCAAAAACAAAAAAGCACGTTTAAAATGAAAAGAGTTTTATCATCAGTGTGATCGGGGTGTAATTTTATTAATAAACTAAGATTTAAAAACACCATGAAATAAATAAATCTAATTAAAAAGTTTTTCAGTATTTTTTTGTTGTTCATTTATTTAAATAAAAAACTTAGCATTTTTAAAATGACATGCAATAATTTAACGTGATATTTCAAATGTCAAATTAAAAATAAAAAAAAGCACAAAAAATTAAATAATAATAGTAATAATAAAATAAATTTAAAAATAAATATGATGCCTGAATATGATGGGATGGTTGTTTGAGACGCATCAGATGAATAACTTATGTCAGGAAGTTCATTTGAGCTTATGGTAAAAATTGGTTGAAGTGGTGTTTCTTCATATAAAGCAGTTTTCTTGAGTTCTTCGGTTCTACCTGCTTGGCTTTTTGGAGGGGATCTTGTGCGAAATCGGTGGGCCATTCTCTATTATTTAATAGCTAATTATAAATATAAAATAACTTAATAAAAAATATATTAATAATTAATGATCTTTTCAAAAGTCATATAATATTTTTAGTTCTGCATTTATTTTTAGTAAAGTGTAATTAATCTTAGAGCTTATGAACTACTTTTTTTTTTTTTTACTTTTTTACATTTTTCTTTTAGGTGCTCCGTGAAGACCTAACAATCTTGTCATAGAGCATTGCGGATCATTTTAATAACAAGTTCATGCCTCCTTCTTTACCGATGACGCATCGAAACAATTTCATTATGAATCTATTTACCTAGCCCTACTCCAGTTTAGAATTCGGCTTATAACTTGAATTATTTAAAAAGAAAATAGTGTATACGTATATTTCTATATATATGTATATATATATATATATATATATATATATATATATATATATATATATATATATATATATATATATATATATATATATATATATATATATATATATATAAACTAGTAAAAACACTAATCTCTAATTTTTTATCTATTTTATCATTTCAGTTATTTTAATTCTATTTTAGTACTTATTATATACTTTATCAATTAACTTATCTTACACTTATCTTTTTACTAATTTATTATTGCTCCGTTCTTTAAGAACTTTGAGTACTCTTTTTGTAGTATACACATAATTTATATATATATATATATATATATATATATATATATATATATATATATATATATATATATATATATATATATATATATATATATATATATATATATATATATATATATATATATATAGGCCTTAAAAAAAATTTCTTTGATCTATGGAGGTAACCTGACCCTTACGCTAACTTTAAAAGCCTAATAATAATATTATTAATAATTTATTTTAGTTCTTTTTAAGATAAAAAGACTTACTACAACATAGTTAAAAGTGGTATTGTTGTTATTGGTTTTGTTGCCTCAAGATTTGCAAGTATATGGTAGTTCTTCAACTTTAAATGATTTTCGTGGTATTGTTGTATAGTTGTTTTTGTAAAAAAGCAAAATTAAAAAGCATAAAACATTTAAGTATTATTGAATAAAAAATTTATATTTACAAAATAGTATTTCATCATTAAATAAACGTTTAAAAACTTTATTAAAAACTATATTTATAAACTCATTTAAAAACTGTATTATTAATTTGGCTATTGCTTCATATGCTGATTGCAAATCTTCCTTAGTCTTTGCCTAGTGAAGGTTTACTCTCCTTTGGTGAATAACAAGTAGTAACTCCTGACAATCGTCTGTGAACAATCGTCAGGAGTGAACATTTTTTACTAAGTCTGTGAACATTGTTTACAAAATCTGTGAACAAAGTCTGTGAACATTGTTTACGTCGTTAACCACTGCAAGGCTGAAGAGAAATTGGAAAAAAATCTTAAATTGGTTAACATACTCCCATAGTGGTGCCGGGCTGTTTAACTAAAGTGTATCATTCAGTTTAATGAGGTTTAACAAACTAAAGATGAACCAAGAGTTTTCTCCCACTAATTGTGCAATACTTGGTGGTTTTTTTTAGCCTGAAGTTAAGAGCTTTTTAACAAATTTAATTTCTTGAAATGCTTATATATGAAATGCCGAAAAAATTAAGGAAATGGTTTTGAGAAAAGCATTTTTACAACATCTTCTCTCTCTGCTACAGAAATTTCTTGATCTAAAAGAGCAAGTGGAACCAAGGGTTTATCAAAGCACTATAAATGTGATTCTATTGAAACCATTGTGGCATCAATTCCATTTAAAATTGTTTCAAATTTCTGAACTTATTGTTCTACGTATTCTCTATATTTCTTCATTTGACAATAGGCTTTTATATCTTGATAAGGCGCAGCGTAAGGTAAAAAAGTTTTTAAAAACCAGACGGAGTAAAAAATTGAGAAAAACTTGGCCGTAGACTGCACTTCATTCTTTTGATTATCTGTCAATAAATAAGAAAGTTGATATCAGCATAATATAAAAGTTTATCAAGGCACGTTTTTTTTAAGATTTCGTTAATATTGTATTTACCAATCCAAAAAACCTGCTCCCCCTTCATTAGAATTCTTCCCTAGATTTCTCTGCTAATTTAGAGTCCTTACTCTCACTTATCTTTAATGTCTGTCAACTATCGATTAAACAAGTGATATTATCCATGCAAAAGTTACGATAATACATTAAATAAAGTTAAAATATTGATGACACATTTATAACAATTCATAATGTTACATATTTGTTTTATTGTTCGATAATAAGAAATATTATTTAATTAATCAATTAATTACTTAGACCACCTTATAGTTATTATATTATTTAGCTATAAACCCATACGTAATGACAATAAGAAAAAAAATGTTTTAAAGTAATATTAAAAAAAAAAAAAAACCTTAATCATCTACTAGCTTAATAAGTTCAAAGGATCATTAAAAATTATTTTACTATCTTTTTAGAAATTGAAATTACGAAACTTTACCTTAGAGATTTATTCGTTAATAATCCATCTTTGTAACCTCCGTCTAATCAAGTTTTTTTTTATTGCAAAAAGAATACAGTTGTCAGGGCAATTGACAAGACCGGAGCACTTTGCGAATTTATCTAGCCCATCAGTACAACCAATAAACTTTTTGGACGGAGTTAACTTGTTACTAGATCTTTTAAACTGAAAGTTAGGAATTAATACTTTGTTTGTTACAAAATTTAATCGAGGTAAGTTTTCTATAAGGTTTTCTTCTTTAAATAAATACTAGCTTTTAGTCTTATAATTTGACCACTTTGAATATTATTTAAAAAGATATTAGACTATTTGTTATTAGTAACGCAATTAGTTTTATATACTTTGTCTTTGTCTTAGCATTGGAAAGTTGCTGTTAAATTCTAAATTATTGTTCAAGTACTTTGGTTTATACATTTTTTGATAATATTTTCCGATCCGATTTCCAGATTTTAAATTTATTGCGCTCTAATGTTTATTAAGTAAGGGCCATTAAGTTTAGTGTCCGGGGGAAGGTTACTCCATGGATCAAATTTTTTTTTTTTTGGAGTTAATTTGACACTTACATAAAAATTATCCAGTTTATAGTTTTTTCCGTGTCTGAAAACAGTTTATTAAAAAATCAAAAACAATTTTTATACGCCGCCGAGTGATAAAATAAGTTTTTGTGAAAAAAAAATTGGATTTTTCACCTGATTCAGAAGATTCTGGTCGACTAATATCTTAATTTTTTCAATATGCTTCTTTTATGTGATTTATATTCAATCCAACATCTAATATTTAAAAGAATAAAAAATTTTATAGGATAAATTTTAAGGTCTCCACCAGGTGTTTAAAACACCCCACATTTTTGGCCCAAAATTGAACTGGCGGCAGGATTGGAAAATTTTTTTTTAAAAAAATCAAAAAAATCAGATTTTTTGGATTTAAATTTTTTTTTATTTAAATCAGATTTTTTTAATTTAAATAAAATATTTTTTGATTAACTATTAATATAGTTTAAAGTAATATGAAATTGGTTGACTGTGTTTTTTTTTGTTGATAATGCAGGGATCAAACAGGTCAGAAGTATACTCAGGATTCTAAAATCATATCTTTCAATCTCCACGAAATTTTCCACACAATGCGATTGTATATTTTCTGGATATTTATTATATTTAGTTTAGATAGTATTAAGTTTTTTTTTTTAAACGTTGTTATAATTTAATATTGCTGTTTGTCAAAACTGAAAATATTACTCTGAAATGGTTTAAAACTCTAGCTATATTTTTTCAGAAACAAAAATATTTAAAACATAGTAAATAAAAACAAAAAAAAAATGTTTGGAGGAAGATTTAAACCAGTGTAGTCCAAATTTGAAAAGCTTGAAACAAAAAGTGGGAGGGTATGTAAAGCAAGATGTAGGATATGCAAAAAAGAACTGCAGGGTCTGGTGGCAAGAATGAAAGTACACTTAAATAAATGTTGTCACGAAAATAATGCAGAAGGTAATATAATGTACACCTTATAATAGTTAATTATTTTTGTATTTAGTATTATTTAATTCATGTTATTTTTTTAGAAATTGAATTTCAAACTACTTCTTCCAACATTCAATTTGACCTACAAAGCAACCCTCAGAATCATCTGTTTTTGCAGAAAAATTTTATTTAAATGTATCAGCAAAAAAATCATGGGCTGAAAATATAAATAATAATGGTCCAATAAATAAAAATACAAGTTCTGGATTATTTTCCATGTTGTTAGAACAAGTCAGAGTCAAAAGGCTGTATTTGATGAGCAAATTGCAAGAATGATTTTTGCAACAAATTCATCATTTCAATCAGTTGAACATCCAGAATTCAAAAAACTTATGTCGATGTTAAGGCCAGGCTATAGTGGCCCAACAAGAAAGGACGTAGCTGACAAATTCCTAACAATAGTGTTTGATAAAGAAAAGGGTAACATTAAAAACGCTCTAAATGGAGAGATTGTAAACATAGCACTGGATGGTTAGTCAAACGTTCATAAGGAGCCTATAATTTTTGTTACAGTTACAACTGAAACAAGTGATATCTGTTTAGCTGACACAATTGACTCATCTAGAAGCTCTCACACTTCTGAATATCTTGAAGAACTAGCAGTTTCATCAATTAAAAATATAGAGTTTGAATTTGGGTGTCATGTAGGAAGCATTGATACTGACAATGCAGCTAATGTATCAAAAATGAGGCATAATATTGAATCTCGATAAGATATTAATGTAGTTACATATGGTTGCTCTGCACATTTAATGAATTTGTAAGCACATGACCTAGAAATCGACAATGTTAAAGATCATATTGTAAATATTGTCAAATATTTTAGGAACCATTATTTTGTTTAGGCAGAACATAGAAAAGCTGGTAGACAAAAACTTGTATTGCCTCAAGATACTCGCTGGAATACCATGCATGACTGTTTAAAAGTATATATTGCAAATTGGTCAACTTTGCTAAAAATCTGTGAGTCTAATCGGGCCAT